ATTATTCCCTGGCGCGCTCCCCCTTGCGTCGGCCGGGGTCGGCGGATACACATGATTTCATGAAGCGCAACATCTTGCTCAAGAAAGACATTTCAGATTTAAGTCTGGCAAGGACAGCTTTTGAGATTCAGTATTTCCAACCGAATAGACCCAAGAGCAGACTCGGAGAGTCAGCCCAACAAGAAAGCAGTCTCTGTCTTTGCAGTTCCAGTTTGATTCTGCAGAAGTTGCATTTGTGTCTCAATACATGCCAGTTCCAGGTGTGGTGTACTCTTATCAACTTTCCCGGAGTGCTGCGCATGTTAGCACTGCCATCGGGGCTTTTGTAAGTGGAGTTTAAGGGAAGCTTTCGTATGATCACCCTTCTGCAGCCTGCAGTAGCCTGCAGCATACAGCTGTACGTATTTGGTTTGTCAGGCTACAAGGTCAGATGGAGAACCTCCAAATGCGACTACAGCATATGCGTGCCTTGGCGCAGGAGGTGCAAGCACTCTGAGAGTCAGTTGTGAGTTCATAGAGGTTTGCTACGCAAGAACTTGTGTGAGTGCTAGGATCCTTGGCCGGTCCGGCGGCACTGAGATTGCGATATTTACACCTTTAGTCTGACCATGAGAGCAATGGCCTCCAACCTACTAGCGATGGCCTCCAACCTAAGAGCGATGGCCTCCATACTATTTTTTTCTACTTTTGCAATTTTTTGATTTTGTCCAGCTCCACTTTTGTTGAGCAGGCGTGGGAACAACAATTCCCCTTACAATTCCCCTTCTTCCTTTTCTGATCTTGTTCCACACCTTCAGACCTGTAGCCAAAGTTTGATGTGTTTATACAAAACAAATAGTGTGCAGATCAGTACTCTTCGCATGATGGTAATCTCATTAGGAAAACATTGGGCCCAGAAAGGCGGTTGTTGCACGCAGTTTGACACAGGGCTTGTCCAAGTTTCCTACTTTTTCCAGCCAAATTTACAAGCGGGCGTAGGGTCAGTGGGCAGGTCATTTGCGTGGCAATGAATGAATGAATGGCTCGCCCCACTGTGTGGAAGGAATTAGGCTAGCTTTGCATCCCTCGTCTTTTCACCTTTGTCCTGTCGGCCGCCATGATACCTTCTCTGGCTGCTATAATTCCTTATAATATAATTATATACATGTTTCCGGTTTGTCTGTGGATTTGGCTTAGGCCAAAGCTAGTAGTTTGTGGCCGTGCCACCTCTTTTACTCTAGTTTTCTTGAGTCCATCTTCGCACGTCTGGCTTTGCTTCTTGATTATTCCTGATTTACATTTGCTGACAGGTTGTGACGACGTACGACCACCTTCAGTCGCTTTTTTTTTGATTCCTACCTGATCCAATTGTGTTGTTGTCCAGCCTTGCCCGGCTGTTGCAGAATGATTCAGGTTGGCCGTCACGCTTCAACTGGCCTGCTTCACTATTAGGCTAGGCACCCTTACAATATCCAGGCAGCTCTTGCTGTATCGGAAAGGTGACGGTTGGCTTGCTGTCAGCAAGCACCTACGTGAACGAGTTTCCTAGAAAATTGTTTTCGGTGATCTTGAGTGACATTTGCTCAGGTGCTGGTCAGCCCTGGTTTATCTCCAGCTCCTACAGGCATCGTTGCAAGTCCAAAGTCTTCTCAGCTTTTGGCCTGGTGTAAGTTCACGACAAATGTTCATGTCTCACTACAGAATTCCTGTATCTTAACTTGTTACTAGTAGCTTCTTGCTCCTAGTAGCGATGCCAGGAGCCCCTAGTAGCTTCTTGCTCCTAGTAGTAAGGCCAGGAGCCCCTAGTAGCGTTGTGGCTCCTACATGATTTATGTGATTTATATGATGATATTTCAAGAGTCCCAAAGCTGACTGTGTCGGCAGGATCCCCGGCACGCCTCTGACAATGATTGGCCGCTTTCAGCAGGGCCGTGCCAGCATCGAGCTGAACCTGGCGGCAGACAGGCGAAGCAAAGAGCGAGTTTGGGTGAGAAGTGGAAATAAATATGAAGGTTGGGCCCAAGCCGAATGGATGAAAGTTATGACTGCATCTTGAAGGTAGGTGACCCAGCGAAGTGGTGTGGCGGGTGCATGATCACAACCAGATAATTTCGGTGTACAAAGTTCGAACAGGAGCCCAAAAAAGTAATGGCGGCTACATGAGCCAAAAAAAGTAATGGCTTGACACATATAGAAGTGCTGATGAGTATATGTGCGATCAATGTGGTCATCGGGCCAAGGACTCTTGTGGTGCTATGGCTGTCATTCCAATGTGTTATCACAATGACATTTTGCTCGAGAAAGCCTCATCCGCAGGGATCCTGTCACCGCAGAGGCTGGTTTTGTCAGGGGTTTGGTGGCTCAGAATAGCTTGCACAATGGACATGGTGGGATTGGGTAAGGTTCCCCCCAAAGTAGGAATCAAATGACCTAAGGGATGGGGGTTCTCCGGGAAGGTTAAGTTTTTTGTTGCGTGGGGTCAGTGTTTTGGCCACCAAATTTTCTTTTTTGAGGGCTGGATGGGGTCGTTCCTCGCATGTTGTTTTTGCTTCGATGCCCTGGCTGTTCGACACTTATTTTTGGCTCGGACGCACTGGGGCGGTTGCCTTGACCGGTTGGGCTTTCGGAGTTGGATCCGTTTATGGTGAACCCTTATACCTGACACGCTTATCTTACCAAGTTGTGTGTTAATTTAGGGCCACATTTGTTGATTTTGTCTGCTTCTGATCCGATCGAACATCGGAACCTGTTGGCAGTTCATAGACTCAACAAAAGACATGGTCTAGAAGCGTTCTGGACGCACTGCACTGGCCCTCAATCCACCATGGCAATGTTTCAAACCCCACGACTCACCTAACCCGACATTTCGGTCCTCGCTGTTTTCTGCAGTGTGTAGTGCACCAACTCATTCTTTCATGGCGAGGCGTATGGTCTTCAGCGCATGGAAATGCTCCTTTAGCACATGTCCAGACATTATAACAACAGATTTGCAAAGAGCTTGCATCCTTCCAACACATACGCCTCAATCCTGGAGAACCACTGCAAAGGTTTAACGTGCGCGATAATGATTGAAGTTGGCGCAAATCCATGCCTGAGACTATTCAAAAATTTGTCTTCAACCCCTGTGGCCCTGCGAACACACTATCCAAGGTGAGAACTACCACATCCCACCGGGAAACCTCCCGTCCCTGCTGTCAAATTGAATAGTGAGCTTTCCTGAGCTTTCGTGTATCCAAGCCACCAAGCCTAAGAAACAACTATTTATATATATATTTGTATATGTATAGATATGTAAGTATTTAAGTTTACTAGCTACCATCTACTTTCTTGGCTTTACTTCCACTTGCCGTCCCCAAAAAAGGATTCGGAAATATGGGGAGTTTGGACCGGCTAGCTGAGGTGTTGGACCTGCAAACCTGGGCGTGAGTGCCAATTTTGGCTTTTGAGGGCATGCGCGCCGGCATCAGCTCTACTACCCCGATGTCAATTTGACCAACATGATTTGAGTGTACTGTATTTGTTTAGGGCAACAAATGAGAACAGTTTGATGGTCGTCCTCCTTGCCCGCTTTCTTTATCCCGTTTCTAAGGCGGCCAGTTTCAGTCCTGCAAAACCGTGATTTGCGGCTATGCCACAGGAATGATTCGATCCTATTTTGGAAAGAGGCCTTTGTTCTATCCATTATACACGCAAAAATGGCTGGTTTAGCATTTTGAGGAGGGCTGTGTTCTGTTTTGTTGCTTGCGGTGATGAAACACATGGAAGGTGTAGACGAAAGGTGTTTTGCTTTAAGTCCGCAACAGGATTCATGTCACTGTGCCCACAAGTTGTTCTTGTTGCCTTTGTATCTACCCTGTGTGTGGCACAAGTTATGCAAGGTGACCCACAAATGAGCACGTAATGTGGCAAAGGTAGTGCGGATGATGCTATTTTAGTTCTTTGTACTTATTGGCATTCGTTTATTTTTTTACCTCCCGCTTTCAGTCCGTGGAAAGAGAAAATCCGATTCATAGACCACACACTCACCTGCAGCAAACAGCTTTCCCTCCACATGGTTTTGTTGCAAGTGGGTGGTGGTATCCGAGTTCCTAGCTAACATGCGCCTTTTTTCAAGAGCCATAAAGTTTTGATTGGTACATAGTACTATAGATACGATCCTCCAGTTAATGTGTATGCATTCAACAAGTTGTTGGAGCACTGAAACATGAATGTCGTGGCCATCTATCTCTCTATATATATATATATATATACACACGTATATATATATATATATCTGGCTCAAGGCTCAAGGCCATTTTCAGCATCAAGGCCAGGGCCTACCGGGTCCCTAGGCCATCCAGCAGGGCACGGACACCTTGAGTCTGCAGAGCTCTCGGGCCAGATCGCAGAGGGTGCCGTGATCCCAATGCGCCAGCACTATAAAGTGTGCGGCCACTGCAGGTGCAGCTGGATTTGGGAAGATAGGCTGTTGAGTCAGCCTAATCTCACATGCAATCAATGCGGAGAGGCATGGCAGAAAAAGCAGGTTCCGGACCTCAGACAGAACCGCAGAGTGACCTGGGCCTCATGGAATTTCCAGGGTGATGGGCATAGATGGCCAAGGAAGTCTTTCAAAGATGCCTTGTTGGAACCTCCACCGGGACTCCACGGTGGACAAAAGAGCCGCAAGGCAAAGAAGGCCAAAGATCCAGCCCTCCAGAAGGCCCTCAAAGATCACTGGGACCAGCTGCCGGATGCATTCAAAGAGAAATGCACTTCCTTAGGGGTGCAGGTGACAGCTCCACCCAGCACGCCTGACTTACCCACATTGATCAAAGAGCACCTCCAGAGCTTACCCACTGAGTTGAAGGAGGCGGTGGAGAAACTGGTTGCACCAGATCCACCGGAACCACCTTTGGCATCCAAAGTCAAGCAAGCGGTGGGCACATTGAAGCAGCTAACAGAGAAAAAAGCAAGCCTGCAGACCAAGGCAGACACAGTCAAAGCTCAATATACTCAGCTCTTGCAAGACCTCAAGGAACTGCAAGGCAAGATTGAGACGGCACAGAAAGAGTTGCAGAGCACCACGACTCAGTACAATCAGCAACTCGAAAAGCAAAAACAAGATGATGCTGAAGACATGGCAGATGATCTTTCCCCTGAAGCTTTAGTCACTGCAATGGCCAGTGTTGGGCTTCAGGCTACATCAGCCCAGGTGAAAGACCTGGCCGTGAAGCTTGTTGAAAGCGCGGCAAAAAGAAGGAAGTGTGGGTAACAGCAGGTTACTCCGACGGGCTGATGAAAGGGGTGACACAACCTTGCAACAAACATCCAGGGGCAATAGTGATGTGAGCATGCAAGGCTGTGCTAGTTTTGGCTCAGGCGATGGAGGGTTTTCCTTTGACGGGCCTGAGATGTGGAGTTCAGCCGACCAGCGGCTGACCAGTCAGGAAGGGAGTGCGCCTTTTCCTGGCTTCACAGGAGGAGCTGGCGACATGGATGACATCATGGACTCCAGCAGCGACATAGACATGCAGGTTGAAAGACATGCACCAAGGAGTGGTCCGATGTGGCCGCTTGACTACGTGGCCCAAAGTCTGCAATGCAGGCTTGGCAATCCAAACAACCGATGCTTTGCGAATGCAGCCTTCCGCTTATGGCCATGGGCGGGGGCATTCATGGATGGACCAAAACTGTGGAGCAAAACAACCACAGCAGTTCTGGAGGCACTCAAGGCTGATGAGGTGGTTCACCTGCCAAAGCTGCCAGGGCTGGAAGTTTTGTGGGAGAAATTTGATGACAACAAACAAGATGATGCATCTCATTTTCTGCAAGAATTGGTGGCGATTGCGGAAACGGATCATGTAATTCAGAGCTACCGCCAGGTTGACTACAGACAGGAGGTCCAGCAGCACAAAGCTTTCCCGGTCCATCTGCTGTTCCATGCCTCCCAAGGACCGGGGGACCTGGAACACCTGATAGCTGAATGGGCAAACACAGCAGAGGGCCAGGTGTTTGATGGGCAAGGATTGTGGGTGGCACAGATTGGGCGCTATGAGCAAGTTCAGGGAACATGGACAAAGCACCACCGTGCGTTGCAAGTGCCCTCGATTTTCAATTTGCCGGTCACCTTGGATGGAGAAGAAACTCGAATGCTGCAATACTCCCTGATCGGTTTCCTGTGCCATTCAGGCACAGCACACCAGGAGGGGCATTTCTTTGCTGTTTTCATCTACAGAGGTTTGTACTGGCTTGTTGACGATGGTGCATACCCCAGACCTTTTCAACATCTGTCAGAGACGACCCAACAACAGATAGTGCAGGTTTGGGCCATTCCCTCAAGACGGCTGCTACCGGCCCACATTGAGTGTGATGTGACACCAGGGCGCCAGCGACCCATGGTGCCGGAACAGGCTTCGAAGAGGCAGTGTACTGAGGGCATCCAGTTTGACTTTGCCAACATCACGCAACTTGGGCACGCAGTGAGACAATGGATCATCACTCGCCCCAGGAAGCCTCTGTTCATGGTGGAAACTCACCTGGGTGCAGCGGATTTTGAGAAAACACAGCAATGGCTGGTCACACGTGGACTCAACATGCTAGGTGAACCAGCAGCTGAGACTGTCAAGGGAGGCACCAATGGGGGTTTCATGATGGTCTACCCACCGAATCAACATTTCCATTTTGTCCAGAAGCAGGTCATTGACGGATGTGGGTGGTATGGTGTTTCCTGGACTTTTGGCAATAGCGAATTGATTTTGGTGATGAGTTATTTCAAATGTGGCGAAGGCATGCAAGGCCCATGCAACAGCAGGTTGTGGGCTGGTTTACTGGCCTTTGTGACGAGTCTGCAACGGCCGGTGATCGTGTTCGGTGACTTCAACATTCCGCCGGAAGTTTTCATGACCACCACCATGGCACAGGTCATGCATGTACAAATTCTGGCAACAGGGCAGGAGACATGCAACACTGGCAATGAGCTGGATTGGGCATTTGTCTCCACACAGTTGATAGCAGACATGACGGTTCAGACGGATTGGATGGTGCCTTTCAAACCTCATGCCATGCTCCGCTTCCAACTGGCTGGTCATTTTGAGGACGTGGTGGCGCGACAACTCTCCAAATATGGGCCAGCGCCCAAACTCAGCAAGCCAGAAAAAGAGTGGCACCACTTTGAAACCAGACAGGTCAAAGTCAACTGGCTGAACAAGGAGACGGACAACCTCACTTCCCAGACTGGCAGCCTGTATGACCGCATTGAAAGATTTGTGCTTCAACAGCTGGACAAACCCACTACTGGGAGAGGCACCACTCTCCAGTACGTTCATCGACCAATTGCTGACCCCAGCAAGCCGTGGCTATGGAGGAAAGGCAGCTTGGCCTTTTGGGGTCAGATCGAAATCCGGTTGCAAAGGTTGCTGCGCCAGTCTCAGCGTGAACCTCGGCATCAGACAGGCTTACAAAAGCTCGGCTGGCATATTGATGAGAATTGGCACCCGGATGCCCCGGTTACTTGTGAAGGCTACATGATGTTGTTTGAAATGCTATGGCATCAGCATGGCGATGAGCACATTCATGTCCTTTTGAACTACACCACCAGACAAAGGGAACTGCATCAACAAGAGAGTTTTCAACAAGAGACCGAAGAATACAGGCAATGGCTGGCCCAGGCCACACAGAAGGGATGCCGCGGATTGTACCGCACACTCAAGAAGGACGAGCTGCCATACATGAGGCCTTTCCAAGACCAGCCACGGAGTGAGCGCATGGCAAAGAGAGTTCAACAGTGGGGGGACATCTGGCAAAGCCAGGATCAACCGGTCCTCATTGCTAGCATGGAGCAGATGATCCAGAGAGGCCAAGCTGCTGCTCAGCAGCTCCCTCCGCTGACTGAGGCACAGATTTGGTATACCATCAAGCAGTTGGCTCTCAAGGCACCAGGTTTGGACGGCATTGGCTTTGACTTTCTCAAAGCTCTGCCTTTCAGTGCAATGGCAGATTTGAAAGAGCTCTTTCATCAGATCGAGGCAGCGGCTATGATACCCAGCCAATGGGGGACCTCGTTGATAGCTCTTCTGCCCAAGTCTCAAGTCATTGAGCGCCCCATTGCATTGGTTGCCACCCTCTACAGGCTCTGGTGCCGTTTGAGAAACGGGCAGACCAAGCTGTGGGCCCAGCGCATACAGGACGAATATCCTTGGGAAAGGGCCGTGCCAGGGACAGAATGTTTGCAGGTAGCTCTGAAGAGAGCTTTCATGACGGAACATCATCAAGCACACCGAAGAACTGTTGTCTCTGTCCTTTTGGACCTTTCCAATTTCTATGACCGCATCAATCTGCAAAAGCTGGCAAACCGCTGGCTGGATTCCTCGTATCCAGCCACCCATGCGGCCCTGGCCATGCAAGTGTATGCAGGCAGCAGGATCTTGGAAGCAGAAGGAGAAGCGTCCGAGCCGCTATGGGCAAGCCATGGCATTCTGGCAGGTGATCCGCAAGCACCTTTGGCAGCTAAGGTCTATTTGCAAAGAGCCCTCCGTGAGTTCAGCAGACGTTTCCCACAACTGCACACGGACTTATGGATTGATGACTTGAGTTTTGATGTTGTTGACAAGGATCCTTACAATGCTGTAAGAATCGCGATACAGGCATATGAATTTGTCAAAACAGAACTTGAGAAGGACAATTTGAAGGTCTCGGCCCAAAAGACAGGATTCATTGTGTCCAATGCCGCAGTCAAAAAGATCCTCCAAGAACAGCTTCCCAAGGGAGGCCCAAGAGTACATGATGTGATGCGTGATCTTGGAGTGGATTGCACGGCTGGCCGTTTGAGAAGGATTCAAACTGTGCGAGCTAGACGCACCAAAGCGGCCAGAAAGACTCGCAAGCTGATGACATTGAAGATTCCTGAACGAGCCATCCGCCTCAAATTGTACAAGGGCAGCATAGTAGCTGGCATTAGCTGGGGCCATGAGGCAATGGGTATTGCTCCCCAGGTTCGCCGGCGTCTTCGTGCAACAATGGGCCGGCAGATGGGTTTGCAAAAGACGGGGAACATTGACATCCTCTTTGATATGCAGAAACAGCACAGAGATCCTGACTATGGTGCCTTTGAGGATCAGGTGCGGCTGTACCGCCGGTTTTTCGGAAACTGGCCAGAGCACCTTGCCAGAGATTTGGAGAAAGCCTGGAATTTTCAGAAAGAAAAACTTCGGGCGGCAAAGCATCCATGGCAGCATGCCAAAGGTCCTGTGGCTGCATTGCAATGTTATTTGATGGAGCATGGGTGGCAATGCGACAGGTACGATGAGTGGACCAAGCCCGGACACAACGGGGAACCGGAATGCCGGTTGAACATGCATGCAGACTGGTTCTTTCTGAAGCAAGAGCTGGCCAGGGCAAAAAAGTGGGAAACTGTCATGAAAGTGAGTCAACGCACTTTCCTTCAGGAAGTGCAGCAGCCATTGGATTGGCTGCCTTGGAGAAGAATGAGCAGACAGTTGAGCAAACCCCAAAACACAGCGCTGCAAACGTGGCATCAAGGTGCCATTTTCACCCGCAGTGCAGATGGGCAGGAGGGCAAACATTTGATGTGCCCTCATTGTCACACAGAGGCCACCCCGATTCACCTCCTCTGGGTGTGCCCACAGACGCAAAAGCAGTTTGCGCCGCTGGATCAGCTTGACAAGCAAGAGATCGAGCACGGCATCAACCTTGAGTTTTGGGCCCAGGGCCTATTGCAGCTGCCCCAATATGAGATATCAACTGGCGGTGCGGCCGTCCAGACTTGGGGCTCATGGACGATCAATGATGAAGTTCGGCTTGGAGACCATGACATGGTGACCATAGGCATAGCCCCAACGAGCCATGACCCGCGACTCAAACATTTTGTTGTTGCCTTGGTTCACCACACTCATTTGAATGGTGACCTTTTTCGGAAAGGAGCTGTCACTACAGTGTTGCCCGGAAAACAGTCGATTGAAAGAGCCTGGTTCTACGGGCTAAGGCTCATAGCCCACTATCTGGATTTGTCCAAGAAGGTGGTGGTGCAGGTTCTTTCGGTTCGAGCATGGGAGGCCTGGGTGAAGGGTCGCCACGCGGAGACCTTTTTCGATCTCAACAACCTAGTGACTGCAGATCAAAGACAGCGAATACAACCTTTGAGTTTGACGCTCAAGCAGGTCAACGAGATGCCCAAAGGTGTGTACACGGTCCGAGCCAGGCTGAGAGACGCCACCAAGGCGGCAAAAGAAGTGGCCATGTCGCTCCGACCTCACCACCTAGAAGAAGAGCTGCACCTCACTGATCAGCGCTACCAGAAGATAGCACCTTTGGCTATCAAGCGCATCAGATACTTGCTGGAGACTAAGGATCATTTCCTTCACCAGACAAGAGAAGCAGGAAAGACCAGAAGGGAACAGACAAGAGCCAAGAAGACCCAACTTTTCCTTGACCTGGGCAATCACCATACTGAGTATGGCCACAGCTGGGAGAAAAAGGGCATTGGGCTGCAATGCACCAAATGCAAGGTGCGCATCACAAAGCATTGCACAGTTGAAGACCTTGAGAAGGCAAAAACCGAGACGTGTTCAGGTGCAGCAAAAGTCGATTTGGTTGGTGGGAAATCCCCTGAAGTTTCAACCAAAGAAGACCTCATCCATCAGATGGTGGCTGGGGAGCTCCCGCAGATGGAGAGTCACAAGTTTGAAGTCCAGAAGCACTACATTGTTTGCACGGCATGTAAGGGACGCATTTTGCGCAACTCTGCCCGTGAGAAACTTTTGGTCTTGGCCGAGGGCCCTTGTTGGAACAAGCCATGGCCGATTCCAAGTGGCTGGCTTGGCCACACCAGCCACAAAATGTGGCGCCAAGGGGGCAAAGTGTACTGCACGCAGTGCAAGGCCCATGCAACGAATCGAGCGGATTCGTACCAAGCCAGCAAAGGTTTGCGACAAGCATGCGGCGAGCAGGCCACTCAAACCACGCTGCCGAGCTGCTTCAAGACCAAAAAGGTCTAGGGACCGGAGAGCTTAGGAAAAGAGACGAAGAAAAAAAAATATATATCTATATTTATCGATTGGTTGACGACCATCATGTAGGTAACTGAATGCAGGTCAGAGCGGCTTGTGAAGTCGATTTCTGTCGAAATAGCTGTGCCAGGGGCTCTAACGAGTAGGGCGGTGAGTGTGGTGTATCACCCCAGGCTGTACGCCGAAGATCTCCAGTGCCGTTGTGCCAAAAACTGTGTTTCGGCACAGCGAACAAACCATCATATCACAATTGTGAAGCACTTGTGTTGAAGCTGGATTGTGCCGACAAGGAATTGCCTCAAGGCATCCCTTACATGGAATGAGTACATGGAATTGCCATACATTTCCTATATTCAGTGCAGTACTGTGTGTATGGTTGAAAACCGCATGTCATTAGTGTACCAGTCTCAGGATTTTGACACTGCCGATGAAAGACACCAATGTGAATTTATCGAACTTTTCAGACTTGTTGAGATGCATTCTCAAACTCCTTTGAGTGGTGCTTTAGCTTTCTTTTCGGATGTGGCATCAGAGGGTACTCTGACATGGGCGCCGGCTGCTGGTGTGCTGCCGCAGACCTCTGAGTCTGGCAAAGGCTGGGAATCATGCCAATGCTGTACTATGGAGCAAAGGAAGACAGTATCAAACCACTACAAGTTTCCATTCTTTGTCAGTGGCGTTGGCTGAGTTGAGCTCATGTCAAAGTGCAAAGGCCACATTTTGGAGATCCTGCTTCTTGTGTTTGGAGCGCAGAGCCAAGGAGCGTGAGATTGGGAGGATGCCTACGCAGCAGCATGAGGAGGCTTCACCTCAGTGCCATTTCGAAGGTTTTAATTTTTCTGCGCAAACAATGTGTAACAACGCCTTCTTGGATAGTTAACAATGACATTCCTATTGCACCGTTTTCTAATCCATGGTGGAGGAGGTTGCAGTGTCTGACCCATACCAGCTGAAGGAGGACTGGCTTGAAAATTATCGCTTGGATGCATTCTGCAAACAAACACATAGGGCGCGTCTCAATTTTTGTTCCGTATTATATTTTGATTCTCAGGATTGTAACCTCAGGTACTTGGTCTCACTGTGCATCATAGCAGGACCTAGTGTGGCTGGAGTCCAGTGGTAGGCTCACCGGAATGATGCTCGACACGTCCCCATGACTCGCAGCTCGTCCAGCGGCAACATACCGCAACAAAATCCCAATGAGTGCCATCGCTATTAGGTTGGAGGCCATGGCTACTAGTGACAATAAATATATAATGCTTTTTAGGTCTTTGAAGCTTTCAAACAACAATGAGTGCAAACGCTATGTGTTTTCTCCCAAGACTGGAGGAGCCACTAACATCGGATGATGAGGCCGACACGGCTGCAAAGTTGTTGAGTCTTTCAGAGGTACTGGTATGCAACCGTCATGGCAAGTCTACAAGAGTGTGTTTTTCAGATTAAGTTGGACCATTGGAAGTGCAGTAGTAAACTGTTTTTGCCCACCCGCTTGGACCGCTAGAAATTATTGTATTTAGTACATAAGCCACAAGCTGACTCATGGAAATCCACTTCACAAGCCATGTTTATTGCACGCAGACTGATGGACAGTTCAGAACGAACGGTGACCAATCTCACTATCACCACTTATGCTAAAAGCTATCACGCACATCTATGACAGACCACAGTTTCGTGTATTTGCTGGACACATGGATTCTGACTTAGTTCAACATTCCGGATAAAGACAGGAAGGCCCTCTATCAATGTATTTACTTGTTCTGCTTATGGCAGCCATGTTCAGCAACATTAAAACTAAAACACCCCTCAACACGCTAAGACAACCAGAACCAATTCCAGGAAGTATACTCTACCCCGACGACGCACTGATTTTTGGCAACTACCTACTACCAAAAGAAATACACACGGAATTCAAATTCGGAATTCCTTTGCCCTCTATAGTTGTCTATTTTGGAACTTGATCTGGATACATGCGTCAACCCAACTTTGAACTGAGAGCAATCTTCATCAAGCTGGCGGATGGATCCCTTGTACCCCGCAAACATACAGCCACATAGCTCGGTACCTCACCTATACCGTTGACAATAAATAACCATGAACCGCATCGCAGATTCAGTCCGACCTGCAACAGACTCAATCGTTTTTGGACAAAAACGGCAACTCCATTTCATGGAAAATTCAAGTTTTTCACTCAACTTAGGAGTAAGCTTTTTATGCGCTTAGATTTTTTTTTTGTTTAATCAGAAACACATTCCAGATCAAAGGATATCGGAGAATCCTTCATATAGCACCCACAAGTATTCACAGGACAATGACCAACGCATTTGTGAAAGAGCTTCTCAAAAACCATCATGAAGCCACAGTTGTAGAATTCTCTAGATTATGGTCGAAACAAACCATTCAGCTTTTAGGCCATCATTCGACCAGATCCACAAGATCCCATGCACCAGGTCCTTTTCCTTCCCAATTCGCTCATACCTAAAACTGAGCACGCAAGACGAGCAGGCAAACCAGAGCCCACTGGCAAATCAAAATTATGCTGATGCTTATAGAGAAAGTCTCAGAGAAAGTGGTCACTCACTGAAAGCGGGCACATTCCTGGCCAGGCCATAACAAAAATGCTAGGTTTCTTCACCCTGTGCTCCTTTCTGTGTTCCCCTTCCTTCCCCCTTCTTGTTATTTTGATTGTCCCCCGTTTCCAATGATTCAGATGGAAAACAGTAGTGCTGCAAAGCTTGTAATTTTGAACTCATTCTGCAAAGCAGATGGCTAAACCTCGGCTTGTGCGATGCAAAAGCTATAAGCTGAATGGAGTGCTTCTTTACTGTACTTGTACCTGCTTGCCAGGACAAGACAAGAACAGAGGAAAGTGAAACTGAGGAGGATGAGGATGAGGACGAGTTTTCGCCACTGCGTCGGGTCACTCCACTGATATCCATGTCCGATGCAAGGCTTGTAAAAGGATCATTATCATGCACCTAGGAACCATAACGTTTTCCAAAATTATCTCCCGGCAAGAAGAGACCCCAAACAGTGTCTAACGGTCTAAGGTCTAGAGGTGTAGAAGCAGAAGGTCTAGAGATCTAGACGTATTGGGCTCCAGAGAGAGGTGATGGTGGTGGTGGCGATGGTGGTGGTGATGATGGTGATGGCGATGGTGGTGGTGATGGTGGTGGTGATGGTGATGGTGGTGGTGGTGATGGTGGTGATGGTGATGGTGATGGTGGTGGCGGTGCTGATGGTGGTGGTGATGGTGGTGGTGATGGCGGTGATGGTGATGGTGATGGTGGTGATGGTGATCGAGGCTCACAAGCCAGGTTTAGAACTGAAGGTCTGAGAGCGCACAAATGAAAGGTCATGGCACACGCGTGAGACCACGCGCAGGAGAGCCCACATATATAAGAGGGCGCGCGTGAGAGCACACATATGAGATGTGCCTGCCACGACATCTGCGCTTCAAGGTTCGCAAAGTGCTGCGCCTGCCACGAAATCTGCGCATGAAGACTCGCATCGCGCAGCGCTGCCAAGGCGTTTTGCAGCGAGAGCACTTTTGCCCGAGACTTCTTCCGATTTCGGAAAACGAACCACATGTCCAAAGGTCACGATTCACTGCACCTGCCACGAAATCAGAACGCGCCGAAGACCACTACCATGAAGATAAAATTTATGGAATGATTTGTTGATTGGTTGATTGGTTCATTGGTTGATTGGTTGGTTGGTTGGTTCATTGGTTGATTGGTTGATTGATTGATTGATTGATGTCCTCACTTGTTTGCGAGCACTTGCTTGCTTCGCGCTGTTCAGACATTGGGTTGCATGTTGCAGTGCAGTGAGATTCAGTGTACATTGTGGTCGTACGAGGTGCGCTATTCGATCGGGACACTCAAGGACACTCAAGGACATCCTTGAGTGTCCCTAAGTGTTTTGTCTATCATTTTATCAAGGATGTACTTGAGTGTCTTGAGTTTCTGGCAATTTTCTCAAGGATGTCCTTGAGTGTCCTTGAGTGTCTGGCCCATGATTTTCTCAGGCATGTCCTTGAGTGGCTTTGAGTGTGGATGTCCTTGAGTGTCTTTGAGTGTCGGTCCATGGTTTTCTCAAGGATGTCCTTGAGTGTCCCTGAGTGTCCGGTCTTGTCCTTAAGCGTCCCTGAGTCTGAGTGTCTTTGAGTGTCAAGTGTCTTTGAGTGGCCTTGAGCGTCTGATCTATGATTTTCTCAAGGGTGTTCTTGAGTGTCCTTGAATGTGCTTGAGTGTCTGCTCTTTGATTTTCTCAAGCTTCTAGCTCGTAGAAGAAGAACTTTTCTCAAGCTTCTAGCTCAAGCTTCTAGCTGGTTGATGTAACCGCCGCAGTCGCAGGCGCATGGTTTGCTTTTCGCGTGGCCAGCGCGGGTAGGCATATCCTGTGTAGTGCTTCTTTCCTGTGCCCTGTGCTGGAAAATGCTAGTTGCATGCGGGAAGCTGCGCCCACTTTACGGCTAAACTTCCGCGCTGCGCGCTGGCCGCTAGAAGCTGCGGCTGCGAGGAATCTTGGGACTGAAGCGGCCACCGGAGACGCAGGGCCGGTCAAAACCTACCAGCTGTGGTCAAATGCGGTGCCTTGCTACTAAGAAGCTAAGACAGTCTAGTAAGCTTCGTGCTGCTACAAAGAAAACAAAGACAGCCTAAAAGGCTTTTTAGCATACAAAGCTTCAAAGACTTATGATGTACGCTAAAGCTAGTTCTGATGACGCAGCAAAACATAACTAGACGACGAGTGGCCCGAAAGCATTTTTCATCACGTAGGAAGTCAGAGTGTGAGTTATCTGTTAAGTGTTCAGTGTGAAGTGTTAAGTCGAGTGAGTTGAGGTAGTGTGTGGGTCTCTGTGTGTGTGTATCTATGTCTGTGTGTGTATGAGTCTCTGTCTGTGTGTGTGTGTCCGAGTAAGTTGAGGCAGTGCGTGGGTCTCTGTGTGTGATGTGTGTGTACGAGTCCCTGCCTGTGTGTGTGTCTATGTCTGCTGCTGGTGCAGGTCTTCACTGTAGATATAGTGAACGAAGTAGCGCGCAGGCCTCCCAAACCCCCACCGGCGGCCAAGCGGTGACAGCCCAGCTCATCGTCGTGAGCATTTGAGCTGCTGGTAAGGGGAGAAGCAGCGTGCACGCCTCCAGGAAATCTCACTGAACAAAGCGAGCTGGAATGAGCACAGAAAATTGCTGAGGCAGGTACGCAACAAGTTTGTCGAAGCAGTGACCTGTCAGAGGAGATGCGTCCATAGATATACGATCAGAGGTAACGTTTCCTTCACTCTAGGGCGCAGCTTTTCTAGGATGTAGTTAACCAACCACTATGCTTGTCATTGACTAGTTGACTGTCTCAAAGAAAAACGTGACAAAGTAGCGTGAGGTGACACACAGCAGGCGCTGCAGATGTTTTAGCGTACTCTCGCTGTTCAGCTCGCGACTAGTCTTTGACACAGAAAAGATAGTTTATGTCTAGTACTTGTTGTGCTTCCGCAGAACGACGTCCACACAGGAGTTGTCAGGAAGAAGTCATGGTATGAGACATGCAGTTGGTTACCATGTGAACATCTAGATGTTTTTTCACCTCGATTCATGGTCTTTGCTCAGTTTTAGCCTCGACCCGAAGCAGAGCTGGATGGTGTAGGCATCTGTGAAGTTGCGGCTGTTGTTCCTCACCCAGTCTTCTCATCCACTGGACCACCGGACCACTCGCCAAAACTGCTCAGTTTCTCCATGGGCAAACTAGTCTCTGTCTTCTATGGACTGGTTTGGCCATCTTTCATGGAGGAGCTCAGGCTGGTCGTCATGGTATGTCCTGCTTCCATAGGACCAACCTATGTACTGGTCCAAGTTCTGTGGAGACTTGTGCCATCTCACTTTGAGCACCAAAAGGTAATCTATGCGAAATGCGCAAATGCATGGCAACCACACCGCTCTCCAGGTAACGTTTTCTTCACTTGATAGTTCATCAACCACTGTACTGGTCATTCTCTCTTCGACTGTCCCAAAAAAAAACCGTGCCCAAGTAGCTTCAGGTGACACGCATCAGCCATTGCCTATATCTTCGCGTGCTCTCTCTGCTCAGCTCGCGACTAGCCTGTGTATACGGAAAAGATTCCCCGAAAATATATCTAGCAACGTCCTTGTTGTCCTTCCGCCGAACGACGTCCGCCTTGAACGACTCGGTGTCACTCCAGGTCTAATGTGAGTTTCGTGTTGTGTGACGCGTTCAGTCTAGTGTCGAGTCCGTGTGTGGGTCTCTGTGTGTGTGTCTCTGTCTATGAGCAAAACAGTCTGGCTCAGGAGCGCCCACCTCTCTCGCTGCGTCCGCACAGACCCGCGGAATCTCCGCAGGGTTGCGCGCGCGCAGGACACATCGCACTCTCGCCTACATTTCGCGCACTCGACATGCGCGCACGATCTCCGCAGAGGGTTGCGCGCATACCGGACAGACTCTCGCCTGCGTTTCGCGCGCTCGACGCGCGACGATCTCCGCAGAGGGTTGCGCGCGCATGGGACAAATCGCACTCTCGCCTGCGTTTCGCGCACTCGACGCGCGCGCGATCTCCGCAGAGGGTTGCGCGCACACCGGACAAATCACACTCTCGCCTGCGTTTCGCGTACTCAACACTGCATTTCGCGCACTCGACACGCGCGATCTCCGCTCGAGGGTTGCGCGCGCATGGGATAGATCGCACTCTCGCCTGCATTTCGCTCGCTCGACGCGCGCGATCTCTGCAGAGGGTTTGCCCGCGGCCAGGACAAATCGCACTCTCGCCTGCATTTCGCGCACTCGACACGCACGA